GTATGGCAGCTATATGGTAGCGAGGTGCGTTATTGACGATTCCGACAAATAAGCAGTATCTTGAAGAGAAGTGCACAGAATTTCAGATCGCTATTTAAAAAATTGAGGGACTAGTTTGCGTAAATATAAACGGCTGAAAATGCTAAAATCGAATCAGCACATTTTTAAGATCCTTTCCAAATAAATTGTACAAAAGTTCATATTCTTTTGTAATTCTGATCTGTCTCTGAGTTTAAATATATCTTTTTCTTTTTACCTCTATGAATTTCAATATCTGGATCTTTATATTTACATCTGACTTTTATATATCTTTTTCTAGCTCTAGTCTTATTTTTATCCCGATCTTAACGCTTATTCTATTTCCGGTTTCAATTTCGTCCTCTATCTTCATCGCTGTCTCTAATTCTATATTTATATTTATTTCTGCATCTATCCTTCATTCAAATTTCTAAAGTTCTTCTATCTCTATCTCTAACTATAACACTATCTCTATTTCTATCTCTCTCTTGACCTCTATTTCTATGTCTATATATATCTCTGTCTTTGTTCCTATATCTATAACCATCTTAATCTAACCCTTATACTATTTCCCATTTTTCCTCTATCTTCATCACTGTCTCTGATTCTATACTTATTTATATTTATTTATATATCTGCGCCCTATACTTTTATTCAAATTTCTATAGTTCTTCTGTTTCTATCTCTAACTCTATCACTATTTCTATCTCCATCTCCGTCTCCGTCTCCATCTTCACCTCCATATCCATCTTTATTTCCATATCTATTACTCTGCCTATCTCCCTATTTTTCCATCTGTGCATCTATTTCTACCACTAAATCTATCTATGTCACAGCCTATACCCCTTTCTCATTTTCTTTATAGATCTACATCCATATATATTTAACGATCTTCAACTCGTTTACATCTATATACTGATCTCTCACATCTTCCGAAACGGTTATTCGAAAACTAAAACAACAAACATGTTCTTTGTACCATATTCCAACTGTCCCAACAATCAACGTTCACCTACCACAGTTGCAACAGTCACCTTGTTGAAACTTCTCACTGTGTAGATATTCGATTTCAATATTCTTAATGCGGTTCCCTGAGTTGCATTACAAAATTTACAGTACAATTTTCCACATGCCACACAGCTTATAATGTTTTTATAGTTTTTTTCTACTTTTGCTGTTGTTGGGCTTTTTGTTTGGCTTGGCGTAATCTTAATGCCCGCCTCGGTCGGAAAAGCCACAAATTAAGGCACACAATTGACGTTTAGTAGATGCCTCGTGTCAGATTAAGGTGTGCCAACTGCCGCATTGATTTCTTGATTACTTGATTTCTCAACTACTCACACACACATACACATACTCACACTTGCAACATTTTTGCCCTCAACTCAATTCGCAGTGTGGAAGAAAGCTTAAACGCTTTTTAATTGTACAGTCATCAACGAGGGAGTAGTTTATGTGCTAGCCGAAAATTTATTGGCGCCTTGTAGTGAGTTGACCTGCTTTGAATGATGGCAGTATGTGTGTGCCTGTCTATTGAATCTTCTGGTTTTATTTGTACTCTGTGTAATCACCAATTAACTTTGATTTTAGTGGCATTTTTTTTTATCCGTTGGCCGAGTTGATCGCCTCCGCACTAACGGTATGGCAAGAACTTGCAACGCGTGTTTATGCTTCCGCCTCACGCTATGTGGCCGGAGGAAGCACCTAGATGTGTCAGGTAATGATGACCTACCGCGTTGCATGCTTTTATTGCCACCGATACTTAACTTAACCATTAATGATGGCTTTAAATGGTCAAAGGTGTGTTCCGTGATGCGTGGCCTTCAAAATTTTATTGACAGCGCGCAATCGATTAAATTTCGTTAAGGTTTATAGGTTGGCAGTCAATTTCAATATACGTACGGTAGATGTATGTATATATGAGATGGTGGTTATTAGGACCTTAACACACTTACATCACAGAAACGCCTAATAATGTTTGCTCATTTAGTCATTTGACGGCTCTAGGTCAGTTTCGTTGAGTTGCAACATTTTTGCAGCAGGGTCACTAGTGCAATTCCATAGCCTGAAAGTCAATGTGGATGTCTTATTTGGGTCAGGCGCACCATAATCTACTTTTATATACTTCTGTCTTTGTGACTATGGTGGAAGGTAAATAAGTATTGTAGTTATATAGTTAGGTGATGCATCATAAACAATGTTAATTAGAAATTTGTATGTCATGATTTTAAGATTTGAACGGAGTGCCTTTAGAAACTGCTTTAAATAGTAGAAGAATATTATTTTTGAAAATAAATAATTCTAATTTTTTTTAGCTTTACATGAATAAATTTAAGATGTGCGCCCAGTTGTTAAATATTATATTGAAGAAAAATTGATCTGAGTTAAGCGTTCTTTTGACACTTTTTTTAAGAAAAAACAGTCGCTCTAAAGCCTCAAAATATGCTGGAACTACAATTTATTCAGTTAAAGATTCTTAGCCAAACTCGCAACATTGCTTGATCTTAAGTTGGTAACCAGTGTTATTCTCTAACTTTTTAAAACTACTGTAGAAATACTATACATATATATGTATATATATTGAAATCTTTGTTATTTACAGTTGAAAAATATTAAGCCTGATACGAAAAAATTAGAAAGAGTAGTTGGTCAATTCTCTTTTAATTAGGTCGAAAATTATCAATCACTTCGATTAGACTATGAAATCTTTATCAGATGCTCCACATAGATTCTTCATCCCAAATGTTTCAGAACTTTTCCCTTTGCCCTACGTGACAAATAATAATAATAAAAACTGAACATATTTTTGAAAGCAGAGTTCATGCCATAATTTTTTTAGCCCAGTCGTTTGGCTTTAATTTGGTCCTTTAATGTCAACAATTGAATCGTCTGCAGGAATCAATGGCACAGAGGCTTAGGCCCATAGGAAAGGCCGGAATAAATCTTGGTTGGGAGCTTCTTATACATCTAATCTTGCTATTAATTCTAACAGAAATCTACATTTTTCACAAACCCTAAATGCAATAGGGATTTTGGGATTAACGGTGTTGTAAAAGAAAACTGTAAAAATAATTAATGGGATTTAAAACGTTCTTTTATAGTAAATTTTAATTCAAAATGAAGTAAAGATTTTACAATTTTATGATATTATCTCTTTTCAATGATAACCATATTTTATGATATCGTTTAATATTCAAAACCTTTTCTAAAAATAACATTTTCAACACCTAAGAGCATCACATATTACTACACTCTCGAGCTTGAAGACACATCTTCAATCAAGCGTAGAAATTCGTGTGGATATAACAACTCAAAGGGCATTTTATTCGCTCTATCTATTTTTAATACGCTCTATATTGTCCATTGTTCAATTGAATAGTCAAAAAATCACGATTTTCACTGTTGACGTTTCGTAGTGCTTAATATCGTTTATTAAAAGAAAAAAGGACGAAGAAGCACAATAAAACAGAATGTAATAAACTAAATAAATAAATAATTCAAAATAAAATCAAAAACGATCGCACAACTATAACAGCACAATCGCTGACATCGCCAACGAATTATGCTGATTTTTTATTGCGATTGTCTCCACTGTTATTATTATTGCTGTTATTATTTTATTGTTTTATTTGCTTTCGCAGTATTTTGCTTTATCATATTTAATCCATTGGTCAAATCGGTACAATATATCTTTCACTCGACTTGCCTTGCCTTGCCTTTTCTGGGGACTGTGGACTGTGCAGTTGATGGCCGCCTGCGCTGTTGTGCTTTTCTGTGCGCATGCGCACATTTAAAAGGTACATATTATGCCCATGCTCGTGTTCTTTTACGGCTGCGCGGCTGTCCACATTGTTATGGACTCGTAAGTCTTCATCTTTAGCATTGTAAACTTTTTTTTGCATGCTGACAATAGCCTTAGCTGCCAAGCGACATAAATATATAAAAATATATATCTGAGTACTCACGGTGCCTACAGTTTGCGGCATTTATGCAGCAACATATGTAAGTGTATGTGCTTGTATGTGTGTACAATTATGCCCTACTGCCTTAACCTTTTCATGCCACAAATGGTCAATATGACTTAAGCTTCTTGGTTATAAAAAAGATGTCGAAAGGACACAAGCGCAAATAACTTTAGCTATCTTTTGTGCTCTTAAAAACGTGTTTGTTGTAAAGTTTTTTATTTTCATATGCATTTTTGATCTTAGCGAGTGTGTGGTGGTGTCTTGCAAACAACTTATTCTCATAGTTTGGCGATCTTCTATAAAAAGCGCATAAGTACATACATGCATATATATGGTATATGTGTATGAACAGAAATATATACTGATATTTGAGGGTCAAGAGTACAGTGTTTTTTTTGTAAACAGCTTGCAGATATTATTGTATTAAATTACATATAATATATAATAATAAATATATGCACAACTTAAAACTTTATTGTTTAAAATGTATAATTGTTGCATACTTTTAGGATAACTTGCTTTGATAACTTTGATTTAATTCAAGTTCTAATTGAAAGTTGTTATACATTTCTGAATTATTTCGAAAATTTCTTTGAGATAGCTCCATAAGGACTCAGATTAGTTGGAATTATATGAACAAGCAATTTTGGTTATAAAAAGAAAGTTTAAGAAATTATTAAAAATTATGTAATCACCCAAATACACCCACTAATTTAAAGATTATTCACCCTTAATTTGCATTAACACACTTCACTTTGACAACACATTTCTGGAAGATAAAAAATTTAAATAATTTATTTATAGCAAAGAATTTGTGATTTCTTCACTGTTATGAATATTTTGAGGTTAAGTTGAAATGGAACAAAATTAATACGATTTGAAGTGGGCGGAAAAGACAGAGAGGGAGATATATAGATAAATATAGAAAAAGACAACATGTAGAGAGATAAAAAGAAAGCAATATAGTGCAATATAGTGAGAACATATAAGAAAATATTTATAAAGCGATGTACTTACCTTAACACAGCCAAAAATTTGCAGGCACTTCATGGACACTTTAGTTCACTTTAACACACTTCACTTTGATCACACTTTTCTGAAACATAAAATTAAGATATTTATTTATGGGAATCAGTTTGTGATTTTTTATTGATAATACATAAAAAGAAAAAATATATTTTTAAGAGAGAAAGAAAGAAATACATAAATTTTATTTAGATAACAACAAGTGGTAGAAAGGTAAAGAGAGGGGTATAGTGAGAGAGTATAAGAAAATGTATAAAATGATGTAAACACAAAACATAAATTTAGAGATACTTCACAGACATTTTGTTTCACTTTGATGACATTTTCGGAAAATTAAAAACTAAAAGTTTATTATTTACGTTATCAAGTTTTTGATATTTTTTATTAATAATCATTAAAACCCAATAAATATATATATAATATTTATTTATATATTTTATTTAAGAATAATTCAAGGTTCCGGTGAATAAAAAAAAATATATATAGGACTAAAAGGAAATAAAAGATAGATAAGTCTAAATATATATAAAAAGGCAGAGATATAGATATTGAGAGAAGAAGAGGGAGAAATTTATATATAAGTAAAAAGAGAAAAAGAGGGAAAGAGTTATAGATAAATAGAAAAAGTTACTGTGAGATAAATATGCATTTACAGAAAGATGAGATAATAAAATACAACCTTGTTTTCCAATAAGATTTTTTTTTATTAATGTTTTCACATTGGAACTTCTAAGGAATAATTATGTAACAATATATTCTATACATAGTCTGTGGTTCAAATTAGGTTGGAAGCAGCAGAAGTATGTAAAATATGATTATATTTTGTAGTGGTTTCATTACTTCTATGCTTACTACTCCATTTCAGTTTCAGAAAAAAATTCACTCCGATTGACAAGCCCTTACTACCACATAAAACTTGATCAACTTCGCCAAAACCATTACAGTCGATCTTACCTTTTGTTCGCAAATTCTCCGTCACTAACCCACCGTTCAATGCCCATCAACGCTTTTGTCTACCGATCAAAGTCTTTTCAATGGACTGAATGGACTGTTCTATTTCAGTTATTGTTGTTGTTCTTTTGTTATTTTTTTGCAAATAAAAAATTCTGTTCGCGCTTTAATGCATTCAACGTGTGCGCGCAACACGATGGCGATGTCCACCAACACTTTAGCGTCTAACAAACAACAGGAGCAGCAAAAAGAAAAAAAGTAAAGCAACAAAATTTCAGACGGACAACTGCAACGGATAGCATAGCATGGAATATATGCATATAGTATATGCTTTGCCAAATATTTTCAGGCATGAAATGCTTAAAATTCAGCTACAAACCAGCACAAAGCCGGCGGTGAAATGCAGCGGATAGACACCACACAACCGCCAGCCGCCAAGGCAATAGTCAGGAGACAAACTCACCGGCAGCCCCAGCGAGCACGCCGAACCGGCGCAAAGTGAACAGTGGGCAAACAATAAAAGCGCAAACGCTTCTCACGTGTGTGCCGCGACCGTGTGGCCGAAAACTCTGCTCCACTAGAGTATGCGCGCCACAACAGATGAGGCGCATAGGCAATCCCCCGCCACTGGGCACATCGCCTTGTATATATGTACGTTTGTATGCTTAAGTGTGCGCATGTGTGCACGCATAAGTGCTTAAGCTTTGCCTCGGGCCTTTTGTGCAAATATGCTGCAGCATATTACTTTTATTTTCGCCCATTTTTTCGCCTGTGGCCCATATAAGGCGCAGATGCGTACGCCGCGTAAGCCAAGCATTTGTGCATTTCAACTCTTTTTGGTATAAGTACTTCGGCGCGTATTGTATAAATTTGTAAAAGTAATTGCATTCACCCAATATGCACATAAACAAATAGTGACGTTTTAGTGGGAATCTCTAAAAAATAGTTAAAAAATTGCATTTCTAAGCGGACAAGCAGCGCGTTGTATAAGTTAGATGTTGGTGTCAGGGTTGCTGTATCGGCTAAAGTGAAGTTTCCCACTTTTTTCTAGTATTTTCACCGTTATTTACTTGAATTGCATCAGTGTTTATCTATGTATGGAAATTAAATTTAACTCGCGCATTAATTTTTTCACATGTAATTTTATATTCTCTTGCATATTTTTTAACTGCTGGTTCTTTTCACATTTTTTGTTTTATTTAAGGCCTGTGCTCCACGCTACGTCTTCCATACAATGACACCGAATAAGTCACTGCGTTATGACCCAGTCGGTACGTGCTTTACATCCAGGAATTTTACGCATTTCAATGAAGTCTCACCCTGCCGCACAAGTGAGTATGAGAAATATTATTTTTATATGGGCATAAATATGTGATGGATGTTATTTTTAGCCCGTATATATGCATATGCATACAGATATGATAATTTAATTTTATTGTTAAGCAGAATATGAATTGAATTATGTACAAAAAGTTGATAGAATTAGGCAGCCAAAATAGAGAAATAAAACTGTGACGCATTGCAATAATAAATAATATAAACCAAAGTGAAACGTGTTATTAAAAAATTGGTATCAAGATATTTTACGAGTCTGTTGATAGTCCATGTTTCCATATTTCTTTGTTTAATATTTTTGAAACTTGAAAAAATATTATGAATACTGAAAAATATGTACTTTCTTAACTTGCCACTTTTAGTGCCTATCATGGATTACTTGTTGTGTTTATCCTACTTAAGCACGAGCCAAAAATCCATACTGATCAAAAATATGCATGAAAATTATGGTGAAACTAAGTAATCAAGGGATAAGAAAATGTTCTCCTTCAATAAGCTTGCCCTTCAACAGCAATATCCACAATTACGCATAACATTTTTCCTTTTCGGATTTTCATAAATCCTCAGTCATTTAGTATATAGTATCTTACTTCATGTTAGAAAATGGGAGTAACAAAAAATGTGTAGCACTAGCTCTGATTATTAAGAGTGTTTTTTTTTACTTTTTTTAGACAAGACACTACGTTCCTTACCATTACGGAAGGAACTTGAGAAAATAAAAATTGTACTCTTAGTCTAGGTTCTGAATAAAAAACTATGAACAGGATGATTGTAGTCTATAGAAGAATATTCAAATTTAAACTTTCTAAATAATGATTATCTTCGCCCAACGACAAGGTTTTACAAGGCGACGTTAAAAACTGACGTGCGTTACCGGCTTTAAAAGCTAGTTTTCTGATTTTAAAGCTTATAATATTCCTAAATATATTGGTTTCTTCAAATGGTTAATTTACAAATGCTTCCTTACATTCATGACCAAGTACTCATTAACTTTTTAACAAAGTTATTGCTCCGGTACTTAATTAAGTTAGGTTATGCTGGCTGGCTGTCGCGCCATACATAGAGCTACAGGTCCTTTGTAATGTCAGATGAAAGTTCAGTTTGATACGAGCTGAAGTATTCGGCATACAGAATGTCATCGCTTTATGCGAAGTTTAAAAGAAACCTGGTATCCAATTTTGATACTCTAGAGACCGTGTGAGCAAAAATTTTACCTTCGGCGCCCTTGCACATGATCTTGTTGGCGATCCTGCAGGACATAATCCGTCTGTCAGCCCTTTTAGAAATTTTGCTGTATATTGTTTTTAGCGACTTGCATATTTCTTTTACTGGTACGGTAGCCAACCGGATGGCACTTTTAGCAATCTTATCAGCTATTCCGTTTCCGAGAATGCCCTTGTGGCCTGGAACCCAGTATAGGTACACATATGCAGCCGCTTTGCGGCAGCCAGCACATCTACTGCCTCCCTGCCTGCTTCTAAAGACATTTTGAAGCGTACTTAATATACAATTTGGTATGTCATAAACTCGGGTTTTATCAGTAGTGTTTAAGCTATACACCGATTTGATCAGTGAACTCGAGTTTGATTTAAAGCGTGTGGTAATCTCGTGTTTGTGAGTGATGTTTAACGATAAACATTAAAATGCGCGATAAACTTGAGTGCTATTAAGTATTAAGTACAATATATAAGAAAAAAATTGTGCTTAGACATATGAAAACTGATGTACATAAATATATTTACATATGAATGTATATACCAGCACATTTGTATTTATATACTGCAACATAATATTTTTCAGCATAAAACATATTTACTTTCTAATGACATTTTGTAATTTTTTCATTTTAAGAAGACCATAAAAGTGCAGACAATTATTATTAGTATTTCGTTGAGGCTTGTCATAGGGAAATTCGTGGAAGTTGTTTAGCAAATAAGCCAAAGGCAAATAGTTAACATGCCACTCTTCAAACCAAGTGCCTGAACAAATTAATTTTCTTAGAAAGGAGGATAAATGTATTTACATATGTTGACATTTTTGCTTTTACTAAATTATATTCCAGTGCCAAAAAGGTACTAGTTTTAGTGAAATTTAGTAAATGACAAGTACTTGAGGAAATCAATTAGTAGAGAAATAGGTAAAGGTTTCACTACAAATAGTTAAAATTCGTTAGAACTATTTTAGCTAGAACTACAATATAGGATTATGCATTGATCCATATTCCTAACTAACTTTTAGTCGATTTTATTGAGGTAACCGAGCATTTTGTATACCCTGAACAGGTTACATTAAATTTGTCACGAGTTTTGTTTGGAAATCAATTACGTCTTATTTACCCTCATTTCCCAAGTGCTAATACCTTATTATCTATCAAAAATGTTTGAAAATTTGAACACAAAAAGTTTTCGAAATTATTTTTATTTGAGTTTTGGAAGCTAAACTCAGTATAATCCAACTAGCCTAACTCAGCCTAAAAAAGGCTAGTGTAAGACAATTCTTCGAATACTGGAAATATTAATCAGATTATAATGCTACACATCGTGCAGGTTAGTCTTAGACTATCAACAAAAAATAAAACGCTAATTTATAATATTTATATTATGACTCGGTATTGACTTATACATATACTAATAGGGTTATTCTCAACTGGCATACTCATATACTATAACATACTTCAACGCATCGTATGTAAGTCTACGTCTATTTTTAAAATAATCCCACAAGCCCTCACATGCGAGACGTTTCACAGCTGTCAAGTGCAATGTCGTTGTCTGCAACAACCAA